AAAGAAAACAGAAAACTCCCAACAATCAAATGACTCCTATGAGCAAGCGCTTTGGTGACAGTGGGAAGGAAGACTCCCTTTTAACAGCAGGAAACCTCTGGCAGAACCAGGCTCAGGGAGGGGCAACCATCTGCTGTGACCGGAGGAAGACAGGACGAAGCCTGTGGAAGAGAGCCAGACATTAACAATAACTAATGATTGATAATGCAGAATGATGTATAAACACACAGTGAGTGAAAAAGGTGACTAAAAAAGAAACCCACCCTAGACACACATCCAGGCTGGACTACTGGAATTCGTTATTATCAGGATATCCTAAAAACTCAGTGAAAAGCCTCTAGTTGATCCAAAATGCTGCAGCAAGAAATCCTTAAAATCCTTCTCACCACATACAAGGTCTTGCATAAAAGGCCCTATTTGATCCATGTGACCTTATAGTACTGTATCACCTCATTTGAGCACTGCAGGCTTACCTGTGGTTCCAGATTTAAAAAAGAGCTTTTAAAGAAGCTTTTGAGTCACTGAAAGAAAGATATCTTTCTAAACTCCCCACTGTTACACACCATGCTCAGCATGTGTTTCATGCACTGAATGGTCTGCACTGCAGATTTTACATACCCTAGCCTTCTCTTTCCACCACCCTGGATTACCACACAATGATAAAGATGATTATTTGTACAAAACTTTACTGTTGCACATTTGTACAGTTTACATTTTTGTAGTTTATCGTGTAACAAAGCAGAAGATTTCTTTTGTTGTTCTTTTTAATAAGATCTTTTGCAGCAGATTCAGGGAGCAGTGCCTGGGAAGGCTGGCCAACTTGCTTGGTGGCCACGGTCTAATCATGCCTCCAGTGTTTCAGTAGCTGAATCCTGGAAAAGGAAGAGCTGTTTATTTAAAAGATAAAACTGTTAAATTATAATTTCATGATGTAAATACATATCAAGAATGACAGTAAAAGTGGTAAAGCTTTGGTCATTTTCAGTGGGTTTGCTCATTAATTAAGAGATTAATATATTTAAATATGGACGTTTTCAACACAAACTTTTGTAGTCTTGACTACTGGATAAACAGCACAAATAACAATGCAGACCTGGTTCATGCAAATGAACAGGTCTGCATTGTTATTTGTTACAAACAAACAAACAGCTTTCAAATCAAAATTCTAGAAAGTGCCTTGTTTTATAGAACTATAGAGGGCAAACTTGTTAGGAGAGAATCTGTTGCTATTTGCAGACACATTCATATTGTAGCAATCATTAATTTTATTGCAATTTGACTGAGGTTTTTAAATGTAGCTGCTTAGTGACATCACAATAAACATGGGTATGGTTAGCAATTCAGCACCGGAGCCAATGTCTATGCCCCACTATTATTTAAGGTGAAGACTTTTCCCACTTGCCCAAAATGAATTCGATATTTCTCAACAATTACAAATTGTGCAAACCATCTTGATATCAATATTAAGCTAACATTCGAGAGACTTAATTCTAGGTGTAAGCGTCACAGTGGATGCTTTTGTGTCAGAGTAAGTGAGGATGGAACACAAAAATATGAAGTTGTCTCATCTTTTATAGCATATACTCCCTTTGAAAATTGGCGCAATAAACCAAAAGCTGAAGAAAACAATGTATCAGCATGTGGGCATTACCTGTGGAAAGACTGATGCTCCTGAAGCGAAACAGAGAAAAGTTGGCACCATCTGTGACAGTTCAAATTTAATATTGAATATTAGACATTAAGCTCTTGTCAAGGGTCATTTTTTGCAAAGCAAAAAAAGTGAATGGATGACCACACTTTACACAACAGCAGAGTGTTGTGCAATGTGTCTGTGCGTAAACAAGCAAATAAGACCGAAAATATCGATTCATGATAGGAAACTGCTAATGAAGCACGTTGGGAGAGTGCGGGAAATGGTTTTATAGCGGTGGAGTCTTTGGAAGCCAGACAGCAAATTTTTTTCAACGGTGAAGTTTAGTTTTGGTCTTTTGCTGCTGTTTCAGTGCATTTTTGGAACTTCCAAGAATCTGCAAGATCTGTGCTTTCTGTGCTTTCAGCAGAGACGTTGTCCGCGTACATGCGGTCAGGTGAAAGCGGGGATGTGTACTTTGTGTTTGCATCTTTTCACGGAACCCATTTACCTGCTCTTTGTTTGTTTAGGCTGCGTTTGGTGGTCATAGAAATGTTTTTCTGAGCTTTTAGCTGGGATTGGAATATACCAGACATGTCCATATTTAAATTACAGACCTGGTGGCACAGTACATGAAACCAGATTCCTTGGCAGAGGGGGAGCATTCAACATATCGCGTTCCATAATCCATGAAGAGGTCCATGCCAAGGCGCTCAAATGGGACCTCCATTAAAAGTAGTGAGTGCAAAGGCATTCTCAGAACGGTACCTATTCCTTCTTGGGCCACCAGCATGCCTGGAACTTCTCCAAGACTGCCCGGTGGTCGTCTTCCTCCCTGTCAGGGACCAAGCAGTAAAGCATAAAGGACACCGGTGGTTTTAATTTAAAAAAAAAAAAAACGGGTTTTATTGACCCAAAAATATGAAAATATATTTAACAAAGCCAAAACTTAAACAGGCAGACCAATAAAAGGTCAACTCAACAGACTAAACTCAAGATAATAATTAACAAAACCTCAAACAAACATATGGTAAACTGACCTGCTGAAATGACACACAGGGGGACTTAAATACTGGTTTAGCTAAACCAAATGACACACACGGGGGAAAACAAGATGGCTGCCATATAACCAACTAATACAAAACATTTAAACAAACATGAAACACCCCCCAGGCAATGAAGCATGTGGTGCAATCCAATTAGGCTGTCAGCAGTACTTCAGGTCTCCCAGCCCTTTGCCACACCTTTTGCCAGACAGGAGGAGACACCAACCCCCAGGTAACTCAAACAAAGAAAGATGTATTAATATAACAAAACAGAACTTTGACCTTGCAAGGTTAATATGTGTGCACGCCATATAAACATTGGAAGGTGTGATGGAAAAATGAATACATTTAATAAAGAAACGATATTGAACAATAAATAGAATATTTTAAAGTAGTGACTGTAAATTAAACTAAAGTGAATCAACGGGTGATGAGGTGTGGAGCTTACCATGTGTGGCATGCCATCACACACCTCCCCTCTTCAGAGCTCTCGCTGTTCCAGCGAGAGAGATAGTCAGCAGTAAGGTTCTCCTTGCCTGGTACGTGGTGGACAGTGAATCGGAATGGCTGTAAGGCCAGGTACCAGCGGGTAATTCGCCCATTTGTGTCCTTCATCTGCTCAAGCCACTGTAGTGCTTTGTGATCAGTTTCCAAGGTGAAGTCTCTTCCCAGTAGATAGTAGCGGAAGGAGTCCAGGGCCCACTTGATCGCTAAGGTCTCCTTCTCTACTGTGGAATACCGAACTTCCCGTGGAAACAGTTTCCGGCTGATGTAAGCCACTGGATGGCGGCCTTCCATGGTTTCCTGAAGGAGGACAGCTCCCAGGCCCCGATCTGAAGCATCAGTCTGTAATATGAATGGTTCATCAAAGTTGGGACTGTACAAAACCGGTTGCTTACTTAGTGACTGTTGTATGTCATGAAACACTGCCACTGCCTCCTCTGTCCACTGGATGTAATTGGGGGAACGTGATCCCGTCAGGTCTGTGAGCAGAGCTGCCCTGTTGGAGAACTGAGGGATGAAACGACGGTAGAAACCTGCCATGCCCAAAAAGGATCTCAGCTGCTTCCTTGTTTGGGGCAGGGGGGATGATTCCATGGCCTCGATTTTGCTGACTTGTGGCCTGATAACCCCCTTGCCGATGACATGCCCCAGGTATTCTGTCTCAGCAAACACACTTTGACGGATTCACCGTAACCCAGCTGAGTGCAGGTGGTCCAGAACAGTTCGCAGGTGTTCCACATGCTCCTCCCAGGTGTTGCTGTGGATAACAATATCATCCAAGTAAGCAGCAGCAAAGTCAGAGCAGTCATGTAATACCTGATCCATCAGCCGTTGGAAAGTTGCTGGAGCTCCATGTAGTCCAAATGGCAAGACTGTAAATTGGAAAAGCCCCCATGGTGTTCTGAATGCTGTGAACTCTCTGGACCGTTGAGTGAGTGGGACCTGCCAGTAACCCTTACACAGATCTATTGTGGTCAGGTACCTTGCTTTTCCCAGACGTTCAAGTAGATCATCAATTCTTGGTGTCGGGTAGGAGTCAAACATGGATATGGAGTTCAGGTACCTGAAATCAATGCAGAACCTCATACTCTCATCCTTTTTGGGTACCAAGACCACAGGGTTGCACCATTCACTCTTAGATCTTTCAATGATCCCTAGAGATAGCATCAAATCGATTTCCTTCTTCAATGAAGGCAGCAGACGTTCTGGGATCCTGTAACTTAATCGTCTCACAGAGGCACCTTCTCGTACCACAATATCATGTTCGACAATGTCAGTTCTCCCTGGATTCTCTTGAAAGACTGCTGATTTACACATTTCTCTCACCTGCTGCTGCTTGTCCTCTGGGAGATGGCTGAGATCATAATCTAGAGAGCCAGCAGGTGGTAGATATTGCTCATCTGCTTCATCTTCTTCAGGCACTCGCCGTATGAGCATTGCATCCGCCTTGTGTTCAATACGCTCCACCCACTCCTTCAGAAGGTTTATATGCAAGACCTTGCTGGAGCGCAACTGCCCTGGGGTGGACACCTCATATGTGGTGGGTCCCAGCTTCCTCATGACTTCAAATGGCCCCTGCCACTTTGCCAACAATTTGTTGTTGTCACTGGGGAGGAGCACGAGCACCTTTTGTCCTGGCTCAAACGCACGCTGACGAGCAGATTTATCATACCAAGACTTCTGCTGCTGGGCCTCCACCATATGTGATTGAGCAAGTTCACCCATTTTCTCCAACCGTTCTCTCATCTGAATGACATAAGACAAAATGTTCTTGGATCCCCCCTCCACCTTGTCTCCCTCCCAAATCTCCTTTAACAGAGTTAGAGGGCCACGAACCTCATAACCATACAAAAGCTCAAAAGGTGAAAAACCTGTGGAGGCTTGGGGGACTTCTCTATAAGCAAAGAGTAGATATGGCAGCCATTGATCCCAATCGTTACCACTGTCGTTGACAAACTTCCTGAGCATCTGTTTCAATGTCTGGTTAAACCATTCTGTCAGCCCATCAGTTTGAGGGTGGTATGGTGAAGTTCTCAGACTCCGGATGCCCAACAACTGATAAACTTGCTTTAACAGAGTAGACATGAAGTTAGTGCCTTGATCAGTTAGTATTTCTCGTGGAAACCCAACTCTTGCAAAGAACTGCACTAAACAAAATGCAATGGGCTTGGCCTTTATAGATTTTAAAGGGAACACCTCAGGATATTTTGTGGCATAATCTGTTACAACAAGCATGTAACGATTTCCTGCTTTGCTCCTCTCAACAGGCCCTACAATATCCATTCCAAGACGCTCAAAAGGAGTGCCGATGACAGGGAGAGGTTGGAGTGGAGCTCTATGGGGGATTTTAGCAGATGTTATCTGACACTGTGGGCAACTTTTACAAAACTGAGCCACATCTTTGCTAAGACCAGGCCAGTAGAAATGATGTTTGATGCGAGCTGTGGTCTTGTGTTTACCAAGGTGGCCAGCCCACAGAATAGAATGCCCTAAGGTGAGAATGGCGTTTCTAACCTTCTGGGGAACCACCAGCTGCAGCACCGACCCCTGCTGACGATAGAGAATGTCATTTTGCAAGATGTACTCACTGTTAACCTGCTCCACTCCAGGTTCCTTTTCTTTGGCCTTCCGGAAAAGAGATATTAAAGATTGATCAGATTTTTGGAGTTCAGCAATTTCAGTTGGAATATTAAACCCTAGGGGTGACGGTGTTGGCTCAGCGTCTGTTAGTGTATCCACAGGTGAAAATTTGAATTTCTCCTGCCTTCTTTGTCTGCGGGTCTTCCGTGGCTTCACCACAGTTGTCTCAAACTCCTCATTAAAAAAAAGGCAGGGCACTCAGGGTCTCAGAGTGGGTACTGACTTGCTTAGCCTGAGCTCTGGTAACAGCTACATTGCACTCCTCAGTCTGTTCAGACTCCAACAAATCAAAAAGCACAGGAAGGTCACGCCCTAACACGGCAGAGTAAGGCAAACTGTTCACAACACCCACATTCAGCAGATACATCTGGTCCTGAACTTTAATGTAGATGTCAGCTGTCGGATATCTTTTCTCATCTCCATGGACACAACAGATTGAAATTGTATCACTGGTGCGAACAATATTAGGTGGGGCAAAATCTGAGTGAATAAGAGACCGAGAACTGCCAGAGTCAAGAAGGGCATTGAGTAGAACCCCATTCACTTCAATCTGGCTCATTTTGATGGATTTGTCACTCTCCTGCTCAGGATCAGCATTAGAACGAGGAGCAAAACACATTTGCACCATTTTAGCAGAATTTCTTGGGCACATAGGTTTTGTATGGCCCTCTAATCCACAAAGATAACAAATGAGCTTCTTACCAGAGGCCTTTGGTGGTCTAGTGGTAGACTGAGAGCTCTTACTGGTGCTTGTATTTGCTGAATCCAGATGGTTTTGCTGAGGTATCTTCCGGGTGTCCCTCGATACCTTCCATGCATTATGGCTCCATGCTTGCCCCTTCTTTCTGGCAGCAACAAAAACATCAGCTAACCGAGCCGCTTCCATTGCTGAACCAGGGTTGTGTTCTCTGATCCAAACCTGAAGCTCAGGAGATAACATTCTGAGAAACTGCTCCAAGATTATAGTTTCACCAATGTCATGAATAGTTTTACCCTTTGGCTGGATCCATTTCCCATAAAGCTCCTTCAGTCTCGCATATAGCTCACGAGGGCTTTCATCTGGTTGAACGTCCAGGGATCTGAATCTTTGCCTATATGTTTCAGGGTTAATGTCATATTTTGACAGAATAGCTGATTTCACTTTATCATAGTCTAATGAATCATCAATGTCCATGTGAACATAGGCACCTCTAGCTTTACCAGTAAGCAAGGGTATCAAATGAAAAACCCAATCTGACTTCTGCCATCGATAAGCTGTAGCCATACGTTCAAATGTGATCAGGAAATGTTCAATATCATCAGCTTCAGTTAATCTTTCCAATCTGCCCTCTATTTGTAGGGGAAACTGAAATGCTGGTGAAATGGCTGGATTGGAATTAGTCATAACTGGTTCAGCCTGGGCCTGCTGAACAGAGGAAGAAGGATGAATATCAAACTCTAATGATTCAGAGCGAGCTTCTGCAGAATCTGATGGTGATGTTCTGACTTGGATTTCTGACTGCAAAAGTCTAAACTGATGTTGAAAGGCTTTAAATCGCTGTTCTTGTCGTGCATTTAACTCACTCTGTTTTGCATCCCGGATGTCCTGTTGTTCCATGTGAGCATGTAGCATATTGACTAGATCAGACAAAGTAGGCTCCTTTTCAACTCTCTCCACAACTTCAGTGACTCCTGAGGCTCCATTTTCCTCCTCTTCGCAGGTTTGCTGAGCAGATCCCTTTTTCTTTTCATTCTTGCCACCACGATGCATTCTTCCTCCTCATGGGGAAAAACAGAAGAAAGAAAAAAAGAAAAAGAAAAAAGACCTGTGTCCAATACTGGATGATCCCACTGCTGCCACCAATTGTCAGGGACCAAGCAGTAAAGCATAAAGGACACCGGCGGTTTTAATTCAAAAAAACAGGTTTTATTGACCCAAAAATATGAAAATATATTTAACAAAGCCAAAACTTAAACAGACAGACCAATAAAAGAGGTCAACTCAACAGACTAAACTCAAGATAATAATTAACAAAACCTCAAACAAACATATGGTAAACTGACCTGCTGAAATGACACACAGGGGGACTTAAATACTGGTTTAGCTAAACCAAATGACACACACGGGGGAAAACAAGATGGCTGCCATATAACCAACTAATACAAAACATTTAAACAAACATGAAACACCCCCCAGGCAATGAAGCATGTGGTGCAATCCAATTAGGCTGTCAGCAGTACTTCAGGTCTCCCAGCCCTTTGCCACACCTTTTGCCAGACAGGAGGAGACACCAACCCCCAGGTAACTCAAACAAAGAAAGATGTATTAATATAACAAAACAGAACTTTGACCTTGCAAGGTTAATATGTGTGCACGCCATATAAACATTGGAAGGTGTGATGGAAAAATGAATACATTTAATAAAGAAACGATATTGAACAATAAATAGAATATTTTAAAGTAGTGACTGTAAATTAAACTAAAGTGAATCAACGGGTGATGAGGTGTGGAGCTTACCATGTGTGGCATGCCATCACACTCCCCCATCTGGTGGAATGTGGACCAGGGGGAGAAGAGAAGGTGCCAGAGAGAAGCCAGATCTAGTGACCAGGTGTATGGCAGCTAGCTCCCCTACTATGTTTGCCAGTGACTCCACTGCCTGCATGGGACGCTGGTTTGACATGTAGTCCAGGGCTGTTGGGAACCTCTGTTACACGAATCAGTGTTATCTGTTGCCAGCACGACACACACACACACACACACACACACACACACACACACACACACACACACACACACACACACACACACTTTTTCAGACTTAATTTCTTTGGACCTCAGAAAAAACCCCATAAATTTTAAATTAAAATGTATAGTTAAGTCCAGAATGTTCAGTCTGTTTTATCCTAAGTCATCCAAAACTAATGTAAAGCTGAAATAATGGAGACATGGAGAGAGAAACATTTGGAGCTGGTTTTGCATCCACTTGAGTGTGAGTATGTGTGTGATCGTTAGAAAGTATTCAGATGTGTAGAATAAATGTATAAATGTGTAGGTAAATGATGCTTGTATCAGGAAGCGCTTTGAATGCTCAGAGTTGAAAAATATAGTTGCTATATAAGCACAACTCTACTTATTGTCTACCACTAACATGACAACATCAATGTTGATGATTGGTGAAGAGTACCTAAATAATGATACTCTTCTCCCATTCTATCACATACCAAATATAATGGAAGTATTGCACTTAAATTGAGTGAGTGAGCTCTTACCACCTATTTTTTCATAATATTTTGTATGTGGACTGCAAGGCTAGGAGCTTTTTGTAAATCTGTCTCAGTGGGACTGAAAACAGAACAATTTGGAGATTACAACAGGTTTTGTCCGTGAAGTGTAATTTTTAACCCAACATCCACTGACAGGGGTTGTTTCTTAATACTTTCTGTAAGTGGCTGTTATGGTTTTATGTGAAAATCCCAACAGACCTGCAGTTCCTGACATATAATTAGTTATTATAACTTGTTTTTACATTTTAAACTAAATAACAGCAAGGGGATATTACAAACCTTCATAGTTTTCTATTATTAACTGTTTAAATTAAAATTTATGGTTATGTCCAAAACAGTCTGTTTAATCCTAAGTCATCCAAAACTAATGTAAAGCTGAAATAATGGAGACATGGAGAGAAACATTTGGAGCTGCTTTTCTCTTCCTTTTTTTCTTCCTTTTTTTTTTACAAGGGGAATGTGAAGAATGACGCAAGAGGGAAAACAAGCAAGAAACCAGTTTGTTATTGTAAGGGATCCTGGTTGTCAAGGCATTTGAGGGGGAAACCCACACAGCTGTTCTCCATCTAATGTTACATTCACATCTTCTAAAATATGAACTGTACAGGATGTTCAAGGTTTCATTAGATAAGCAAGAAAGCAAAAAAAGAGAAGACTTTCCAGTACATGTGACCAAAGACAGCACCTACAAAGGTCTATCCAAAATATTATTAATTATGATTTTCTTTAAAGATCCTAAACATAACCAATACCATTATGTATCAGTGCTTCATTATCTATAAAGACATTCAATAGGTGTATTCCCACATGAAGTCAATGCATCATAAAGACAGGTTTAGAGGGACCAAAGTATGGAAAGTTGGAGGAGGACAGTTGGCAGAGTTGGTTAACATCTCCTTAGGGTTTGCTGGTTTCTGATTGGCTAGTGTTGGAGGGGGAGGAGAGAACAATGAGAGTATCTTGCTGTGCTGTTGAGCACCAGGCAGGATTTCATCATGTGAGAGGCCCAGTGTACTCTTTAACACAAAGCAGATGTCCACAACTTCAGCAGTGGCACTATCACTGTAAGGAAACAGCAATTCCTTGTCTCATGTCATCCATTTGTAAGGCCTTGAATGTTGTTTATCATTATGACCTCAGGTTTTTAATGATAATGTTTATATGAATCATAACTGACTCTTAGATAATTTGGGTGGTCTTTTCTGGCTGAAACACATGTTGTTTTTCAGTGTTTTTTTTTTTTTTCATCTATAAGCCTATTAGTCACATCAAATCTGATGACTGGCTTTCTCTTCAGATTTGTTTTTGATGAATAATAAGATTAAAATCCGACAAATAATAAGAAGTGTGTTATTGCATAGGCGCACTTAACTAGCTAGAGAAATACAGAGAAGGTTAACAGACACTGAGAGAAAACTAAGGGCAAGACAGCACTATTCTCACACAATGTTGTGCTTTCTATTAGAAAACAGGTGTGAGACTAGTTTCATTCTTTGTAAAACTTTCTTATTACCTTCCAGTGGGGTCCTAAACACCCCACACCTTCACACTCATATCCCAAGATGCTTCTCACTCCTGCATCTTGCCTTTTGTCGGACAATATGTCTGAGGCCTTATTTGAGGTCTAAATGTCTGTTTAGGTTCTCTGTCATCCAGCTCATGGTAGTCTAAGGAGGGAAGAAAGCAACTGGGCTTCATTCTCCATTATTTGATTCTGCTTTTCCTCTGTTCAATTGCTTCAATAAAATACCCTGCATTAAAAACGTCTAAATTGTGTAGTCAATACCTAAACCATTTAGACAAGAGCACAAAGATACCAAAACCAAAGACAGCCAGGTTAAGTGGGTGAAAAGCCTATTATATTAGGAACCTGACTGAATCTAAAAAAAAAAAAAGTGCTAGCCAAAGGACTCAATTTTGCCATTTCTCCACTACAGCTTTCCATAGTGGATCTTATCACAGCCACAGAAACAGAATTAAGGATTAATAAATTAACACAATCTGAAGCAGAACAAATCACAATGAAGGTTTCAGCTACCCTCTCCAGTACAGAAATGTCTCCATCCAACCTCACAATACAAGAAAAGAAGGCCATCACGTCCCTGAGCAAAGACCAAAACATCACAAAACATTAGCAGCCGACAAGGGAGGTGCACTGTTGTTCTAAACTCTGTGACGACAATACTTATGAAGTCTTAAAGCAAGCCCCCACAAGTAACTACGAAAAGAAAGTCATCAGTTGCCGACAACAACTTGAAATGGAAAAATCCACTGACCATTCTACTTAACATCATCTGTATCCAGAGGATGCTAAACCCTGTATATATGGACTTCTGAAGATCCACAGAAAAGAAATCCTCCTTAGACCCATTAGTAGCAGTATAAACTCAGCCACCTGCAACATTTCCAAGAACCTCACCACCCACTAGCTCCCCTTGCCTGGAACACACTCCATCACATCAAACTGACTTCACAAACAAGGTCCAGAACCTTACACTGGGATGGAGATGAAACCATAGTGTCCTTTGATGTGGTCTCCCTTTTCATTTGTATCCCTTCAACCAGTGGAGAGTGTCAGAAAACAACTACAGCAAGACAGCTCCTTAGAAAACAGAACCAGCTTTACCCCCAATCAGCTTTGCACACTGTTAGATTTCTGCCTTAAGGCCACATATTTTAAATACAACAAGGGTTTCTCCAGACAAAAACATGGATGTGCCATGGGCTCCTCAGTGTCACCTATTGTAGCCAAACTGTACATGGAGGAAGTGAAAAGCAAAGTTTTTGGCTCTTTTAAAGCAACAGCACCTAGCCCCTGGCACAGATATGTGGATGACACCTGGGTCTAAATCAGAACCCGAGTAGATCCCTTCACTGTTCATTTTGACTCGGTGAATAGAAACAAAGTTCACCAGGGAACATACAAAGGTATAGTTTGCTGTTTCTGAACTGTGCTGTGCACGTTGACGAGAATGGAAACTTCAACACTAAGGTTTACCACAAGCCCACACTCACAGACCAGTACCTACTCTTTGACTCCCACCACCCTCTAGAACACAAACTTGGGAGTAATCAGGATCCTGTAACACCGGGCAGAAAACATTTTCTCTAAGCCAGAAGGGAAAGAAAAAGAAAGCACACGTTTAAAGAAAACTCTTAAAACATGTGGTTTTCCCAACTCGGCTTTCATCAAATCAGCAAAACCGCACAGGAAAGAAGGTCAGACACCGACTAGGGAGAATCAGAAGGACAAATGGAACAATGCTGCCATCCCTTATGTAGCCGGTTTATCAGAGAAACTCAGGAGAGTCTTCTCCAAACACAACATCTTTGTGCACTTCAAAGCCAGCCACACACTCCCAAAGACAACACTCCCTGTAAAGACAGACCCGACACACTGTTGTTGTGTTCACATCTAGGAGTGTTTATTGCAGTTTCTCACATACAGTGTTGCTTGGTTCAATACCCGATTCACCAACTTTGCAGCTGGTCTCAGGACACACACTCCTCTCGCTCCGGTCTCCAGCTTCACTATAAAAAAGGAGACTCTTTGTTAGGCAGATCATGACCAGCTATG